TTAATCATCATCATCATCATCATCATCATCATCATCATCATCATCATCATCATCATCATCATCATCATCATCATCATCATCATCATCATCATGTTTTGCTATTGTAATAGTAGAGGAATGAACAAAAACAGTAATTGCAAGGATACAAGTGCAGTAAAGAAAGCGATAACAAAATGCTAGCAACTTAAACATCTAAAAACGACAGTCTTTAATTATAAAACCGGTAGTTACAACAACTCTTGCAAGACCAATGTTTAAAAAATGCAGTACAAACAACTGTGGGTCATTTGCTATTACACTTGATTACCGGTACTTCGGTACTTCTTTTCGAGAGACAAGTGGAGACTGGAAGCTTGAATGAGAGTTAGATCTGGCTTTTCTTTATTGTTTCTGAAATATTTCTTATCGTTATAACATCTTATAGGGGTACCAAATAATGTCCCTAGGGCAAACAGTTTTGGTTTTTAGACCCTAAATGCATTTAAAATATCGAATTCTGTTTGTTCCAAAGCATAAATAATATTGAAAAAAATAGAGAAAAGATTTGTATAGATTTAAAGTTAATCCCAAAAAAACGTGTCTGCTGATAAAATTACGTAGCAAAGGTACACACATCCGAATGAGTATCCTTGAGGGCCCCAAAGAAGTCGTGGAATTTTGGTCTGCCAAAGTGAGTCTTGGCCTTTAGACCAGTGAACATGCTCAAACCGGCAATCTTCTGGAAGTAGCGTTCACACATGTACTGAAATGGAACAAACAAGAATGAGGTCAACGCTGTAAAGTAATCTCATCTCAAGGCAACACATAATTATTTATGAAGTATACCTAATCATAAAAATAATAAAATTTGGATTAAAAAAAAAAAAATCAACAGGTGAAGAGCATGAACAGGGAAATGTTTTCGACAACATGAAGTATGATGAAGGGACAGACAAGAAAATAATCTTTTTACCAACAAACTTTAAAAGATACCACGACCATAGAGTATTATGAGACTGTTGTTAATGAATCGCAGACACATCAAGATATTGTACAATGATGTAGGTTAAGAAAACTTACAAGCATAGTTGTTCTCAGATCAAACTTCTCCTTCATCTGTGTGATACAGATCTGTACGTCCACATAGTCATCAACATCAGCCAGCTCAACCTGACGAATGATGTCTGTCATCCATTCAAAACTTTTCTGGGTTCGTGTCACCCACAGGAAATATACCTAGATTGAAAACAAGAAGTGGGGCATTGTGATTATTACACACACACACACA